CTTGTTTAGAACAACGGAAGTATTAATTTTGGCGGGCCTTTCTGTTGAGTCTTTTGAGACTCCTTGAACGGACGACTGGAAAATTTTATTCGTGGGTTCCACTCTAGATTTAGAGTTTTCAGAACCGGGTGGTTGGACCGGTTCTGAAAACTCTAAATCTAGAGTCAAAAACTCCAATTTCTGATGGACTGACAGACCAAAAATTTAGAGATCTAGAGTAACGGGAATCACCCAATCTTTCAGCACCTACCTACCAAGCGAATCGAGGACTACGACAAGTGTCGTATCGTACCATTGCCGTACGGTATCGTACGCAACGTATGGTACGATACACGTAACGAACTGTGTCGAAGTTTTGGAAACCTGTCGTCTGTTCTCGGCATTGCGGAGAGAGTTTCCCTACGGTACAATTGTTATCCCACCTCAGGCTCATTGTTGAGTTCGACTTCGAGAAAGTGAACGGTTGTCAAAAGAGAAAATATTTCTATCCTTTGGTTGCAACAGAGAGCTGATCGCAACAAAATCATTCGACAGCAGCTTCAGCACAGGTGCATTCGGGACCGTAAGGACGACACACGATCATGCCCGCCAACGACAACCCGCAGGCTGGTCAGGGCAGACCATTGCCAAAGAAAGAGAACGACCTCTTCAAAAATGTTGTCAAGCATTATGAGCAAAAACAGTATAAGAAGGCTATCAAATCGGCCGATTCGATTCTAAAGAAGTTTCCCAATCATGGCGAGACGCTATGCATGAAAGGCCTTGTGCTGAACAACTTGGGAAAGAAAGAAGAAGCCCACGCACTCGTCAAAACAGGGTTGATGCAAGACATGAGGTGAGATCATTGATCATCATTAGCCTGCAGAATCATCAATTTCTACTGTGGCATTTATTGAATGCGCCCTCGACTCTGACTTCTTTCTATTCATCGTACGCTTGGGATTTATTGGTGTGTTGTCGGTTTGAAGATCCCACGTTTGCTGGCACGTTTTCGGTCTCTTGCACAGAGGCGACAGAAATTACAACGAAGCGATCAAATGCTACAAACAAGCTTTGCGAATCGATGCCGATAATTTGCAAATCCTTCGAGATCTGAGTTTGCTCCAGATTCAAATGCGAGATCTTTCGGGCTTTGTAGTTACACGGCACAACATCCTAAACCTCAAATCGAACGGAAAAATAAATTGGTTGGCATTCGCGCTTGCTAAACACCTAACAGGAGATTTGCGAGGAGCAATTTCAGTTATTGACATATATTTGGGAACTCTCAACGACGATGCTCCCGAGAAGTCGCCTGGGTTTGAAGCCAGCGAACTTGCCTTATATAAGAATCAAATCCTTGCAGAAATCCCGAACAATCACAAAGAGGCTCTCGATCATTTGAATGAGTGCGAGAAGGTTGTTGTGGATCGTACATCATTGCTCGTTACTCGGGCTATTTACCAGTACAAGCTCGGTCAGTTTGCACATGTGAAGAAAACGGTGATGGACATATTTGACCGGGGGTTGATCGAAAATTTCAGAATCCATTCCATGTACATGTGTGCAACGCTAGAACTGGACGATAATATATTGGAAGACGCGATGAAACTTCACGGAACAAGATCATTAGCATCGATGATACCGTTGACGGATGATCAAAAGAAAATACTTTTGGAGGCTTACAAGACAGAGATTTATCCAAATTACGAAAAATCCAAAGCCGTAACGAGAATACCCATGAACTTGGTGACCGGTGATCGCTTCCGTAGTTCCTTGGACATTTTCATGCGCAAACAACTCGTCGGGGGTGTTCCATCTCTATGCAAAGAATTAAGTTCCTTCCTTCTTGTTGAAAAAGAAGGAAAGTACGAAATTGCGAGTGATCCCGTTGACGTAAAGCAGCATTCCACGTATGCTTTGATTTGTGAACTTGTCGATGGCTACATTTCGACACTGAAATCATCCAACAAACTATTAAAAGATGACGAGTTTGAGGAGCCACCATCTACTGAGCTATGGGCGTTGTATCTAAGGGCCGGACTTCATGAACTGGCCGCGGAATATTCTGAAGGAATCGCGCTTTTGGATCAGTGCCTCGAGCACACTCCAACTGCAGTTGATGCCTACGAATTGAAAGCTAGACTTATCAAGGCGGCAGGTGATATGAAACTAGCGGTAGAGGTCATAGATGCGGGACGTGATTTGGATCGCCAGGATCGTTACATCAATAATCAAACAACAAAATACATGCTCGAAGCCGGAATGGAAAAGGAGGCACTGGATCGGATTTCTATGTTTACAAAGCATGATGGCAACCCAGAAGTGAATTTGTACGAAATGCAATGTTCGTGGTATGAGCTTGGTCTTGCTGCGTCTTTTGCCACAAAGAAAGAATGGGGGAAAGCCCTCAAAAAGTATTGTAAGTGGGTTGTTTTGAAGATTTGATACTTGTGATCGAATTCAAATTCTATTTCGGTGTCATCATTTGGTCATTTGGTTGCATAATTTCTAATTTTTACTTTTCGAATGCCTTTTGCGATAGCTGCTGTTGTGAAGCATTTTGATGATTTCCACGAGGACCAATTTGACTTTCATTCCTATTGCGTCAGAAAAGTAACATTGAGAGCTTATACCGATGTGCTGAAATTCGAAGATAATTTGTGGGGCGAAGACTACTATTATACCGCCGCAGAAGGCATGATCAAAATCTACTTGTATCTTCACGATAACCCTGAAACTACAAAGGAAGATGCAGAACCAGACTATTCGAAAATGACAGCAGCACAACGGAAGAAAGCGAAAGCTATCGCCCGAAAGAAGCGAGCAMAAGCCGAGAAAAAAGAAGCCGCAGAAAAGAAAAAGAGAGAACAGCAGGAAGCTGAGAATGGAGACCAGAAAAATGGACCGAAAAAAGGAGCTAGACCATCTTTCATCGACGAAGATCCAGATGGTAAAGAACTGGTCAAATTAGACCCAATGAACGAGGCCAAAAAATATTCCTCGATTTTATCGAAGCACTGTCCAAAGCGTATCGGCACGTGGTCACTTCAATACGACGTTGCAATTAGAAGGAAGAAAGTTTTGTTGGCGCTCCAAGCCCTTCTGCGGATGAAAAATCTTGACTCTTACAATGCGGAATACGTTTCGAGGTTAGTTGACTTTGCTTTGAAGGTTCCAGAAATTGAAATGGCAGGGGCTGTGAAGAATGTTGTCACGGACGAATGCTCCAAACTTTTGAACTCAAAATCTGTGGGAAATCTGGTGACGGAGCTCGCAGCAGAGGCACGTTCAGATCCATCCACACCATTGCTTCTTCGTATTGCAATCGCGGAGGGCCTGGTTCGAACCAATTCAGAACCCATCTCCCAAGCAGTATCCTTAATTGTTGACGTAGGAACAGATATGCGAGGATTTGATATTGAAAGCTGTCGGTCCGCCCTTGCTCTACTAAATGGATTTGGGGACGAGGCATCTGCAGCTACCGAACAATGGAAGAGTTTCGTGAAAGAACAATTTCCAATTGCGAAGAACTTTTAGCTAACTACTAATTAAGATGTTTATAGAAATAATTGAATTTTTCTTGTACGATATTGCTTTGAGAATGTTGGGTTTTAGTCATAGCCTTTATCTTGCAACCATTGCTTGCCCCACTGTTCTACCCTGATAACATTATTGTCCATATCTTCGACGGTATTAGATTGTACCTCGTGCACTATCTCGTGCGCATAGGATTCTCTCGCTTCCTCGAGAATGACTTGCATAATTTCTGCCTCCATATTCTCTGTTGAACGAGATTTTATAACATGAGCAATCAGGAAAAGTCAGACAAAGATCGAATGGCAATGAACTAGGCAACCAGATCGGAAATAATTCTTTTAAGCTACAAATTATCCAACAAATACATGGAATGAGAATCCTACCTGACCGTTTTTTTTCATTGTATCCCCTCTTTGTCAATCGATCGAAAAGCACATCAGTAGACGTTCGAAGGCATAGAACTAGATCAAACCATCGCTCGGGAAATATTTCGCAGACATGAAAGTCAACTACAATTCCTTTACCTTCTTCGGCCGCCTTATCCAATATAACTTCCATTGCATCCAATAGTTTGTCTTCATCTAAAACATTAGTGTCCAATTCTTCGTCCCTACCTTCGTAACATTTTAGTTGTTTGATCAGTTCTCCCACATTGACATGCTGCATACCGGTTTTTTCCTTTGAGTACGATGGATGTATGATGCAGATTTCGTATGATGACAACAAAGATGAAGCGAAAATCAAATCAATAAGTCAGTGAATCGTATTCCAATTGTGCACTCATTGTCGTGTTTAATTCAAAAGGAATGGTCCTGATAGGCCTCCCATTCCAGATGAATCGAGTTCGCCAAAAAGTCGATCAATCATCCGATGTTTTGTCCTCACCGCAATAAGAGATGCTGTCGTAGTCTTTCCAGTTCCGGGAGTCCCAGTAACAAGAATGTACGGACGCGTTCTCTCTGGACCGTTTTCACTCATTTTTTGATCGCAATAGTATTCGGTCGATTTGATGATTTGAATATCTTATCTTATTTCAGTTCGATCACAAAAAAATCCAATTCGCAAGTTAGACAATCGTCTTCGGACTCGACAATTTGTACGGAGAGTACTATCTTCCGTTATCCGTCTAGAATTTAAAGACTGTGGCGACTACTCAGTTTCGATCACCCAATGGTCTCAAATATTGTTCTTCAGTGTTCCGTTTGCAAAAGATGGCAGTGGTCTCGTCTCGTCGCCGTTACACAATCGAAACTTGATTTTCGAAGCGAAAAGTTTCCCCTTGCGTACCGTACCGTGCATACCTATCAGGCCAGGTGGATGATTGTGGGAGAGCATGATTGATTATTTTGATCAGATTTTGTTTTTGATTGGGTGATTCCCGCAAACATATTACGTGATATGTCAGCGGGAATGCGTTTCAGTGGTACAGAAGACACAGACAGACAGCTCAACTTACATATTTTCCCCCCATTTTCGGAATTTGGAATCCTGTATAAATTGCATGCAATTTCACAAAATTCCAAAGTGGCGGGAACTTTGGGATTTTCACTAAACCAGCTGTGTCTTCGA